ATGGTGGCTACAGGAAAATAACTTCTTTTCAAAGGAATGTATTATGGCTTGAGTTTTGGATCTAGAATGAATTTTTCTGTCCGAGAGAGTTAGGCAAGGCAAGTAAAGTCCGAATCATCAGGTTAGCTATAGCCGTTGCACAACGAAGGTCGAATAGAAAGAAATTATCAGCAACTTGACTGCGACAGGTCTCATTCTAATCCAAGAGACTGTGGCCATGTGCGTAGTCAAGTCTCACATCATTTATAATCCAATTTTTGGTTATGAGGATGGAATTTCCGAGGAAATAGTAGGCTCTGGCTACCTGGATTATTCAGCACATAGCAAAAATTACCTGTTTTGAATCAACTGGAAAAAGTTTGGAACCGACTGAGAAGTCATCGGCTTGGCAAACAATCGGCAGTTTTTTTATTTGTGCAACGCTTCGTTTTTGACATAAAAGCTTCATCAGTCCAGGTGAGTAGGTCATCAAGTTGGCCAGGTTTTAAGGCAGACAGAGAGCCAATCGCTAAGACGTCTTCATACTAGTGCACTAGATCAGTATTGGGTGTCAACTGACGGCTGCTGTGCTGGATTTTTCGGTGAGGGGTTTTGAATACCAGTCAAGGAGCTGGCTAGTTTGTGGGGTAGGAACCTAGTCCGTCCACTGTCAGTCTCACCGGAACATCTGGTTTATGGATTTCCGGTGGGTCTTAAGGCTGTGATTGGAATGCACTTTTAGGGGTACAATCGATACCTTGGCCTAGATGATCTATCAATGGATTGTCAAGCCCACAGAAACCAACGAAATTTACGAGTGGCGCCCGTTGTGAATCAATGATTGAAGCACCCTGAAGTGGAAGATTAAGGAACCAGACCCGATCGGAACTAGTTTTGAACTCCACCAAACCATGAACACAATATTTCGGCAGCCACACCAACTTGCAAGAGCCGTTAATTGACACCCAACACTGATCTAGTGTGCTTGTATGAAGACGTCTTAGCGATTGTCTGCCTTAAAATCTGGCCAGCTTGGTGACCTGCTCACTTGGACTGATGAAACTTTTGTGTCAAAAACGGAACGTTGCCCAAATAAAAATACCACCGATTGTTTACCAAGTCCTTCTGAAACGAAGAATTTACCCGTTGGAAGATAGATTTCTCAAGACTGTTATCTTCAGTGAACTAAAGTAGACAACTCATTCATGAATACCAACAAACATCTGCGTTCTTTATTGCCTTCAGGCCAGGAACTAACTCCGTTTTTTCGTCAGGAGTCAGAACCTCATGGTTTGAAAAAAATGTCTGTCATTTTGTTCATATAAATGAGGATGTGGTTGATAAAACCCACTTGAGAATAATGTTGACGAACAGAACAACGTAGACAATGTTAGATGAGTTCACAACCTCCTGCTTTCACGACGACTACCCTTCGCAAACGCTGCGCAAAATCACTAGAACTCCACATTCCCATCGCCTGCTGTGAGATCTTTTCCAGGCTGAAATTAGTACAGTCAGCTTTCCTATTGTGACACAGTGTTCTCAGAATAAAAAGGAAAGCATGGAATAGCAACAGTAGGTCTTACATCGTTCATCAACGCTTTTGACGGTTGAAGAATAAGTGCTTCAGTGTTCTCATCCACTTGATAGCCAAAACGACCAATAGGTCTAAAGGGTTGAGAATTTCACAAGATATTGCAGGTTAGGGGTTGCTGATTATGGAAGGGTAAAACTGGTTCACACTGCCGAAGATATAAAACAAACTGGTACTTTTCAAAAGATGAGAGACACTCTGTTCCGCATAGACGACGATTTGCAATAGGTAGTCTACTTTTCAGCCTGGTGAGATCGACAGCTGAAGTGTGAAAACCTTACTGCTTGGAAGGTGGAAGTTGTATGCTCAGAAAGGACAATGTAACATGAGTCTTCATCCGAGATACCGTTCCCAGCCAGCCATAGGTGGTTATTGGTCCGAATTCCTCTTGAGGATAAGCGATTATAGACTTCCCAGTGAAGTGAACTCAGATAGATGTCAGTTCTTAAGGGTAATAAAACTGAAGATAGCTTGTAAATCTGCCAAATATTTGAATGTAATTTAGAGGGGGAAAGTAAAAAATGATAAGGTTGTTTGTGAAATCCATGGGTATCCAGTTTTTCCATGATTGTGTCTAAATTGCAGTTTATTAGCCTACGAAAAATTCGGCTAGCAAGACGTTCTACAGGGTTCAAGAGGAGAATGCAACAAGGATTCTCATTTACCTCATTCTATAACGATTTGATTTCACTCTTCTAATCTAATAGAAAATATTAGGGAGCTGACTTAATTCATATAAGGATACACAAGACAATTTTGAAGTCTAGCCTATTTCAAAAACTGCCTTCGACGAATTCGCTTCTGTCTACATTCGGCGGAATCTCTTGTCTGGTGTTCACCTTAGCTTTCACTAGATTATGTGTTGCTTACTGGATAAAAATGTCTGGGTTTTTTTTTACTCATTTGCGGTTTTGACGAGCGACACATTTGGAACATCATAAACCAGAGATTCAGCTGGGTTCCAAGTGAGTCTCCCGTCAAAACCATATTTGTATGCAGATAAGTGTATAAGTGGAATTTCGTGCATTGGGGCTCAAGCAGAACGTGAAGTTGGTGGAAACTGGGGTAGTGCGCTCACCTGATGAACCCCAAGAAGGATGAAACCAATCGTAGTCTGCCGAGGAGTTTTTCAGCAGCTTTATGAGTAGTATATTACGTCAATGTTTGGTCTTGGTTGTAAGTGCCTATACCTTTTCATCTTGGTAGTTAGGTGTTCAGACCGGCTTTCATCCAGCTCTCCAAAGCAATAACTCCCTGCCAGCACACAAGTTGGGTTGTATACGATAAGAACTTCACTACTTCGTTTGAGCTTCGTAGTCGATATATCACTGAGCGAACTATGCTTACGTTTGAAGCACAGCGGTTTTACTTGCTCAATGAATCCGACGATAACATGGAAGGAATGCATCTCTCCAGGTGTTCCCCAGAACCCGTCTGATCGTGTCCGTCAAATGAATAGTATCGTGAATTAGTGTTCTGACAACCCGGACTCGAACCCCAGGAGCACCTTTAAGTTGTCTAGTGATGATCGTCCCACTAATAGTTTGGCTCGTTGCTTTAGAAAAAACGTTAGTTGCTACATCGTACATAAACTGACAGTCAGATAGCACCCGGCCATCAAGAGACCCCTATTTTGGTCAATATTTCGGATCCGAGTAGCAGCACATAGAAGTACCATATTTGACGACCACCCTATAGAAACGGTATTTCAGTAGTAGAGAGACACGCTCCCTTATCGAGAAGAATTCGATTGAGATAAGTGGAACGGTATACATTGATGTCATTCTTCTCCATCCATCTTTATGGGACTAGCCTCACTCTCCGACACCCACAGACTTTCACAAAACGAAGCCTCTGTTGCAACTCATGCAAGTCACGTAAGCCCATTTCCGTCTCCTACGCCGCCATGACGTACGAGCCCATGATTTCCTTGTCGTCCACTGACTACTAACATCCTCAAGTGTGCAACACTTTTTGTCGCCCAATTAATTCTTAAAACTTTCAGTAAATATGGTCCAGTAAGTTGCGTGACTAAGCTACCGAATTTCCCTGGAGCCTATTTATCCTTATTTCCATCTCGCCTGAGTGTGCAGTCTGTTTGATAGGCAGCACATCAGGTAAGATGACCTGAAACCAGTGTGGAAATGTAAATCGTTTTCTTATGCATGAGTCCACGTTTGGATAAGGGTGCATTTACTGCCACAACCCATGCGCCAGAACGATTTACGTATTTCGGCAAATCTGTGACCACATCAACCTCGTTTGAGCAGTCGAGTACCCGCTTTTGACACTTTTATTCTAGTTAGTTCAATTCAAGTGCCGAACTGAACCTTCATGTCTACTGTGCCCTATAAGCAGTATTTCTCCTCAGTTATCCAGGATTCGATCATTGGTCGGATGACATAAGAGGCTTTCATGTTACTGGCACATTCAGACACACACCAGCTTTATCAAACAAAACAAATGATGAGTATACATTTGACCTCCAACTACTTGCGTGGTTTACAAAGCGTGTGCTGCTAGTTGAACAGCATACGAGGACTCTCAAATCACATAGAGATCTACCAGACGTTTGTTCACCACCTCTATTTACTTACTGCTTTCGTGGGGTTCATACACACTTCACAAAGCATCAGATTACTACTTTAGGCATGTTCTTACCAAAATGGATATCGTTTTGAAGTGAATTGTTCTGGTGAGATTTGTTACCTGACTTCTTAGTTTACCGTAGGTCGTGTGCTCATTTTTCAAATCCTTGAGGGAAAATTTGACAACCTTTGATATGTGGGGCGACCTTTCTTCGATTTCTGATTTTACTTGACAATTTAAAGACTTACATGTCAGTCCGAGACTGTCCACCTAAATACATCGTTCCAATCCATTAAACAGCTGATCTTTGGTACTTCAGGTATTACTTATTCTGAAGCTGAGCAAGTTGTCCGCATACACCTTGAGCAGGGTGCAAGAAAAGCATTCATCATCATATTATTATTATTATTATCCTCATCATCATCATCATCATCATCATCATCTCGTCATCATAGCCACTCTGAATCGGGAATGGAAAATAGCACTCTCTTGTTTGTTGATCAGGTGGCTGTTGATCTGTTCGCCGAGCTCGGCAATTGGCCTGCAAACGTTTCGTCACCATACGAGGAGACATCATCAGTGCGCATTTGAGTCTTCGGCAAACAATAGTTCGGCATACGCAAAACATGTCCCAACCAACGCAGCTTCTGGTGCTGGACACATTCTTCAATGGAATTACCCGCTGCACAACCGAAAACGCGCCTTCTGACTACTTCATTACGGATTCGCCGACACCAACCCACAGGAGAACACAGTGACGAAAAGATTTCAGAGATCATGGGTGCGGGGACTTACGTTGAACTTACCTGTGAAGTCGTACTTCAAGTCCAACTTACCTAAGTTGGTGGAACGATCCTTCTCCGACATACCATTGTCTTCTGTAGTGCTCGGAATGAGTATCTCCGTGTCTCTTGATGAGCCAGCATGACAGTGCTATGCTTTCGTGGAGGTTTCCCGGCCAAATGTGATAGACTTGTTCTGTACTGCTGAAGTCCATGTCAAAGGGTGGGACAATCTGTCCGCGTGGAGTTTCAAATTGCCCCAAACCCAAGGGTAACGGTTCGACTGAAGGCAAATCTTTTGCTGGGTTGACATAAAGGATACTGCTCCAGTATATGTACGCAACCAGTTTGTAGTACATTACCACGGAACCGAAGGTGTCGAGTTGCGCAAAGATAGCACCTTGTGAGAAAGATACACTCGTCCTTGTCTGAAGAGACAAGTGGAAGTAATCGATTGAAAATTGTCACTTTCAAACCGGTAATTGTTGATAATCGAATACAATAAGAAGAAGATATTCTGTCAAAGATATGTTTGATGCGACAACGCGTGCTTTTCTGCTCACTTTGACCGTCATACAGTTCATGCTGTCCTTAGAAAACAATATCTGCAGTTTCTATTCTGTCCCTTAACACAAACAGTTGCAGTTTGGTTCATTATAGAATCCGGTAGAAACAAGGGTTTCGCGTCTAACACAATGAAACATAAAACGGGACATTCTGTCGTCACAACCAAGACATGGGATTAAACTGTCGGAGATTGTAAAGGTAGATATAGTGTTGAAACAGGTTTGTTAGCCCTTTAAAATGCTGAGTCAATGACATGTGTGAAGTACCCTCCCGGTATTAATGTGACATGAAGCAACTGTCTTTGGTGTCCAAATGGTAAAGAACTATTCCTGTAAGTGGAAGGTCAGCGATTTGAGTCCAATCCCGGTCTCGTCTTTTCTTTCATATTGCGTCCACTAGGGTGGCTTTGTATTCTCAAAAACATACAATTTAGGGCCAGCGAACTTTGCCCATGGAATTCAAGATTCCCATAGGCCGTAATGTGTAAAATTCTTTCAGCCAGTTCACCAGTGAGAATCACAAAAAACCAAGCGAATCTGAGTGAACTCCGTGGAAAGTCAACATCGACTGCGGCCATTGACTGAGTACATCCTCATACGGAGAGACTAGCCAGCGCAGTTTCGAAATTGTCACCGACGGATCCTGGGATTCGTTTCCCTCAGAAGCACACAGGAACGTCAAGGGTGGACAAACCTGAGTCTCTCAGACAGTTACGCTTGTCGGGACTTACGTGATGCACCAATAAGGTCACTTTAGTTACTGCAAACGATAGGTCTGGTAAGCAGACACATGATACTGATGAAACCATCCATTCTTTTTGCCAAACTTCTTTCCTGCTCCACGTAAGATCAATTCCCTGTGGACATCGACTCTGGTAATGCCAGTCTTGCATCTCAGTAGTTGATTAAAGGCGCACATCCAACTCTTCGCGCCCGCTTCCTTTGTTTTTAACTCGACCATTCGTGCTCGAATCTTCAAGCAAATCGGTAGACAAGTTCATCTTTTAGGAACTCTTCATACTTCCATCTTGGTAACCAAGTTTGTGACACTTTTGTTTTCTAGATGTTATCGCTCATGAAATTCAGACGATTTCTATTTGCGGCAATGCCGCTAGTGTAGCTCTTAGTTCCCCAAC